CAGATACCTTCACATTTATGCATTAGGATCCATGATGCAGTTGTCTTTGAATCAACAAGGCCAGCATGCAAATAATGCGTTTCTGCACGAAAACCTAGCGTCAGTGTTGCATCTAGTGATTAATATTGTAATTATGCCTTAGCCGGGAGTTTCGTGTAAATAATTGGATAATTGGACAAAAACGGGGCAGAAGTACAAATCGACCGACACCAGCCAATCCGTTATCTGCTTCGACTACGTGGGCGGTGATCGCTAATTTCAGCTGCCATGGAAATGCTACTTGTTAAAAGGTTAAATGTACCTTTGCGGTTGTTAAAGTGAAATATGGTTGTGGAATTTGCTTTTATAATCGAACAACGCAAAAAATTAACTAAGCTTTGCTTCTTTGTACATCTTCGTTTCATCTTTGATATGATTCGTCGGTACGGAAAGGTTATGGAAAAAGATTAGCACCGCCACAAGTAAGACTAGAATTCGAAATCCCGAGACCTTTTACAAAATAAGAATCCTGATGTGAAGGTAAATACCAAAAAGACACCAAATACACCTTACGGAGAATTTGTCGTTGCGCCCAAAGTTTATCCACGAGTAAATTTTTGTGCATCGAATTTGGACGATCCACACCCTGTTACAGCATATTGTGGGTTCGTGATATCAAGTACTCATTTGCTGATACTCTTGTTGTTATGGCCCATAATAGCTACTAATGATTGACTACTATAACTGCACCTAAATTCAGGCATCATTTATCATAAGATAAGCAATGGTTTCAAAGTAACTTGGTAAAAAAGAGGATTTCATTCGAAAATTCCAAGTAAAACTGCCATTACCTTATGTTTGGATAATAGGGATCAGTTTTTTTCTTTTAATGTACTCAAGCAAATTAGGTCTCAACATTTGTTCAATAATTGGAAAAGAGTTGCTACTCGGATTTACAGGAGGAGATTACTTTTACTTCCTCTTGTAACTATTATTTCCTTTGCGTAGGATTAATATTGTTTCCCATTTTAATTTCAATATTTGTACAAACCAAAATATCCAAATTGTATCTGACAGAAGATATAATAATTCAAATATTGTTGTCACCCGTCCTTCAATTTCATCAGCATATTTAGTTAAACCGTTGTAGCTAATGTAACTTATCTTGTTTTTGTACTGAGGGCTGCAATTGCTCAAAAGGTAAATGAAAAATTATCGTCCATCTCCATCCATAAATTTATAACCGCTTAGGTTATTAGGGGGCAAACAGGTACAAAATGAATAGGTTGATAATGCTTGTTGGGGGATGCTTCTCATTGTGTTCTCAATAGTAATCTATCTTATCGTTAGGGTATAAGCTGTATCATATATAGATTATGTACTTGGCACATTATTGTCACACCCAGTTTGTGGAAAAAAATAAATGCTATCGTAGGAAACCACACAACATTTTACAAAAAATGTTAATTTGAGATGTTCTTACTGAAGCTGTCACGAAGACAGAACCTTAGTCCAACCGCTCCACGATTACTATTGAGAAATTTGATATACATCAACTTATTGGTTCGCTATCGGATCAATAAACAACGTAGCCTACCAAATGTATTTTATGTTTCATCACAATTATCATCACTTCCGTGTAGCCAAGTTGGATCGCCAACGTATTCCATCTTGCTTTTAAAAAAAGTTGTTTATCCTTAAAAATGTAATCAACTCTCCAAGAAAAGATCGTGTCTGAGCTTAGTATTGACTTTGGCATAAAAAAATGAAAATTAGGCCAACTCGCAGGTCAGCTGGGAGAATTGAGATTATTACAATGATCAATCATTTTTCTCTGTACCTAAGTTTTGTTATATACTCCTTTGTTCACTCGACTCTCATCTCTGAGTACTATCAGAATTCTCAGCAATGGAAAAGGCAGTCCCATAACGTGCGCCAACAGTCCAAGGGGTGGCAACGCTGACACCATAAGACGGTGCTTGACTCACACATAGTTTTAAGCACGTGGTTGACAGTACGAAGGTATTCTATGCTCATTTTCACGCAGGCACAGCTTTCAATTGCATTAGGTGTCCTCTGGAGGAATATGATAATCAGTATAATCCTATATGACCGGTCGCTAAATGAAACTACATTTTTTATACTCCATCTACCACGAAGGCCTTAGCCTAAACACCCATTGGGTACCATAGCCGACCGCTAAATGAAACTACATTTTTTATACTCCATCTACCACGAAGGCCTTAGCCTAAACACCCATTGGGTACCATGGGGCTATAGGGGGATACAGGGGAAAGGAGGAATGCCACACGGACTCATGCAACATACACACATTCTGGCTCCGCCTACGAGATCCGCCGGGTAGTGCCTCCGCGTTCGACAGTCGTAGACCATCTACAGCCTACGGGACAATCACAGCATCCATAGGCAAGAGAAAAGCTTCTCCTGGGACGGGAGACCGAAGAGTCTACTACTGCGGCCACCACTGCTGCCTACATATGCTTGAATTACTATTCACTAACGACAGTTTCGCCACCACGGTGGCCTTTTCAAGTACAAACGGCAATTCTGATGAAAATATACTTTGTTTGTCGGTCTTCCAGGTAACAGTTTGTTTGTGCCCTGCTTTTTCTGTAAAGTCTGTTACTACAGCAATCTAAGCAGTCCTGTAATATGCCGCAGTTCCAAATGGACGGCCAGCCTCACAAACTAAAAGGGAGCCTGACGTTATCTGTCGATTGTTTAATGTATCAGACACGTCATCCTCGTCCATAGTCCCGAAGACGCCAAAGCTCCTCCGAAAGCGCGATGGACGAGGGTGACGTGTCTGGTACATTAAAAAACCAACACATACTAGTGGTAGTACCGGGAACTTTTTTACCGACCCCATAGTACCAACACTGTACTACTCCACTAGCCATCTACTGATAACTGATATAACTACCAGCTTCAGCGATAAGATGTACCTGTTAATATTTCACAACGTGTGAGGCATAGATTCGAACCAGCGAGACCCGGGTTGCTAGCTCGACGCATTGACCATCGAGGTACCGATGCTCACAAACAACAACATACTAGTTTGTTGCTTTAAATCAGTGGTCACAACCCGTCAATCGCGAGTTACCGGTAGCTCGCAAGAGAAGTTATGGTGGCTAACAACATATTTTAAAAAAATGTAAAAATTATAGAAGCTTCCGTAAATTTTGTAAATTGTTATAATAAACAGAAGCAGTGGCACCACTGCGGAGGGCGATCTGATTCCTTTGAACGGAACAAAGTCCAGCAGTTGGGTTAGAGTTAGCCTGCAATTAGAAACATTATGAGCAGTATTAATAAGATGAAGACATACCACTTCCATTTAGAATGGAAAGAACAATATTTCTTTACAGAATTTAAAGGTAAAAATGTATGTTTGTTATGTAATACTTCTGTTTCCGTTGTTAAAAAAGTGAATATCGAGAGGCACTATAAAACTGTACATTCGAATTTTTAAAGATCGTTCTCATTACTCTGTAACCAGAACGGAAGAGCAATTAAAAAATCAATTAATTGGATAACAGACAATGTTTTTAAAAACCATCGACAACAGTACGGCTGCACCTGAAGCATCATCCGGAGTGTGCCAGATAATTACACAAAAAAAGAAACCTTATGAAGACAGGGAAATGATAAAACATGCGTTTTCACAAGCTGCAGATTCATTACTTGCCAACTTTAGAAATAAAGACGAGAGTGTCTGCTACAAAATCTATGCAACTTTCTGCTAATACAATGATGAGACGACTAGAAGTAATGGGCAATGATATAGTTTTACAGTTAAGAAATGACTTCGATAATTGTGCTTATTCTTCACTACAGCTGGAGGAATCCACAGATGCCGTGTTCGTCAGGATGGTTTTTAGTCATTTTACGATTAAAGAATATCTTTCGAATTTCATTCCACTAAAACGACAGACTACTGAGCATGACTTGTTTTCTTCTTTTGAAAATATTATTTCTTCTGAGAAAATTGGTAGGCTTGACAACCGATGGCGCTCCAGCTATGGTGGGTCGTGATAAGGGTTATATTCTAAAAATGAAAGTGTTCTGCAATTTCTCTGTTACCACTGCATTATGCATCAGCAAGCATTATGTGGGCATTTGCTAAAACTTAATAACGTTATGAAATTGGTAGTAAAAATTGTGGACAAGATTGGAGCTCAAGCGTTACAAAGAAAATTATTCAAAACCTTGGCCGATGAAATTAACTGTCAATACGGGGAACTGCTTCTTCACTCTGAAGTCCGATGGTTAAGTAGGAGACGAGTGCTGAAACATTTTAATCATATATCTGCCACAGTTCATTTTTTCAAACAACGTGATGAACCGAGTCTGGAACTGGAAAGTTCAATCTGGCTTAGACGTTTTTTTTTCTTGTGGGTATTACAGAAACATTAAATGAACCTAATTTGCAGCTCCAGGAGAGATACAAAGAACTATCAGAATTGATTTCTGATGTAAAATCGATTCAAAAAGCCTGAGTTTTGGGAGCAAAAATCGCTGGTGATACCAGGCACTTTCCTGTTCTTTCAGAAAAGATTCCTCAAAGTCCATTAGGACCATATGACAGTAAATGTCATGAAGAAATAGTCTCTGAAAGGATAACTTCAAAAATCGTTTCAAGGATTCCAGCAAAATTGCTATAGTGGCGCAATTTGTAGTTTCACCCTTGATGGAAATCGATATTCCACAGTTTGCAACTTCCGTTATTATCCCTTAATTACTCGCATGAAGAACATTACATAACTGCTCGCATGGGGTCACAGGTGACCCCAAGTTGTAGGATATTTTTTTAATATATATTAAATATAAAATGAAATCAAACTATTTTATTATTAAAGTGCTTTATTTATATTATGATATTTAAGAGAACTAACATGAATTACTATCTAATGAAAAAAATTGAGCTTATATAAAATAATAGTTGAAAATTAACAATTTGCACTTATATCAAGAGATCAAGGCAAATTTTTATGATTATGTTAGGAACTATCCGAATCACTTTTCTTGCACTGTTGACAGTATATGTCTGAGTGATTATTGCACACAAATTTTGTGCACTTTTTGCATTTGGTGAATACTTTTCGATCACTTTTCCGCGGGCAGTTGTTGCAACGCCCACGTTTTGCAGTGGTTGGTGGGGCGCGGTTGTCCAAGTCATGAACTTCTATAAGTCGTTTCTTTATTACTTTAAGAGTTGAATGGACATCAAGCCGACGTTTCTGGTGATTATGGACAAGTTCAACGGAAAATTGCCGCAAAAAATTACGCCTCATTTGAGTACGTGATTTAGTGGTATTTGCCCGATGTACAACGAGAGCATTTATGCATGCAACGTTTATAAGATGGAAGAAAATAGCTAACGGCCATCGTTTGGTTCGCCTTCCTGCGCTGTATGTACCACACAAATGATCATTGGTGTCCACTCCTCCTTTCGTGAAGCTGTAATACATAATTATTCCAGGTGTCTGCTGATCACCTGAACCTGGGCCGATGTAAGCTCCATGGTGCATGGAGGATAAACAACACAACAGCTTGATTTGGTTTTGGCACATTTGAAACCATGGTTAGAGTCTTTTGAAATCCGAACAGACAGCTGAATTGACTGCTGTCTGGTAAAATCTCCTCAGGTATATCGGGTTTGTTTTTCTTCAGTGTTCCAACGAAACATCTCTACACCGGTTCCGTCGGTGGCCCAGAGATCTATGAAGTTGAGATGTGAAGCTCTCAACACTCCAGACATGATCAACAAACCCAGCAATGTTTTTATTTCTTCAACGTCTGTATCTTTTCCGTCACGTTCCCTTTGAAACTTGCCTCTGACGACTTCGATGTACTGATTTGTACATTTTACCAGCAAATTGATAATGTCATCAGAAAAAACAAACTAAAACATTCCAAAGCAGTCTTTGCGGATTTCGCCGATGACTTGACACCGGGTAAGTGTAAAGTTATATTATGTCTTCGTGTTCTTGCGGAGCTTGTTGGTGGAGACTTTGACCATTTTTGTTTAGGACCGTTTCTGCCATTATGTCTGGTAAAATAGAATTTATCATACTGCCCTGCACAGCCGTCGTCCTCGTTGTCTGAAGACTCACTGGAGTGTGCGGACAATTCGTCGATTTCACTAGCACTATTATATCGCTTTGTGTTATCTCGTCTAACTCCGACTCAGAATTTGACCCTCCAACTTGTTCTTCATCAGAAGCCTCAACCAACCAGTTCTCAATTTGTTCTCTTCTATCCATGACGAATTCTGGAAACAGATACAAAACTCATAGTAAAACGTAATTTTTCGGTACTTTCATTTTATAAAACTACACAAAACATATTTATTAAATAAATTTATAAACTGGACATTCAATAATACAAATCGGATCAATAAAACACAAAAAAATACATAAAATAAGCAACTTACCTTTTTCAAAAAAGTAACGTAATTAGTCGCACGGGGTCACTGCTCAAAAGCGCAACGACGTGTCCTTAGACTCCTGTGACATCGTCGCTACTAAAACACAAACGTCGACGCGCGGTCTCAAGCTAGCGGGGGCGCGGGGAAATTAGGACCGCGGGAAATCCTTCGTTTTTGAATGCGAAACTGCTTTGACCCCATGCGAGTAATTAAGAGTTATATTATAGCAAAGACATCGCTGCGCCAGAAATGGAAGTGATTGCGTCTCAAAAAGATTCAGCTTTAAAATCGTTAGTCTCAAATACAAAGTATATCTGGCCGTCTGTAGGTAAAGATAAATATTCAGTTTTATGTCGTGTTGCCTTGAAAGTGAAAGCGTTATTTATTTCAACCTATTTGTGTGAATCTCCTTTTTCAAATATGAAGTTTATTAAAAACAAATACCGTCATCGACTTACAGATGAACATTTTTATAATTGTATTCGTATAGCGGTATCAAATTATACTAATTACACTAAAAAAAATTGTCAGTGAGTCTGAGTGTCAGGATTCTCATTGAACGCGCATTTTTATATTTACATGTTTTTGTTTAAAATAGTGCCTTGCTTTTTAGTTACCTTTATTAAATCGTATGTGGCATACCATTGTAGCTGACAAAAAATTTTGTTTATTTTTCAAACATCTACGATTGGTAGGAATGGATGTAGTTATGTAGTATGTATAACTTATTAGTTTATTTGAGTTTATTAGTATGTATTAGTATTAGTAAAATAAGCACATGTATGTTCCATACAACTGCGTATAGTTTTATTCAACTTGGCCTACATTGCTTACGACTAGGTAGCTCACTGTTTGTTTCAAAATGATCAAAGTATACACTGAAAAGGTTGGCGACGACTGCTTTAAATGGTTGGACATCCTTTTGGCAGCGGGAATGCCTTTCCCAGGCAGTCTGGGTCCTTGCTGTTTTGAGCTGAGTCACCTAAGAATTGAGCTGGTCGCTTCACGAAATCTCAGGATCTACAAACGAACTGTCACCCGAAAGACAGACAAAATAGATTGTCATCGGAATTGTTACTTGATTTTGGAAAAGATCACTGTGGTGGCCGAAACATCGTCAGTGAACAGTATTTCAAGCATATGTGGTTTCATTTATCCGTCAGACAGATATGATTTTCATGCTGATGGCCCTCGAGGAGTAACACGCTAATCAATGTTTTGACTTACTCTTAAAGTAAATTAATGCATGTGTAATATCGTCAAATCTCTCTAGGCATATCTGAATCTTCTCAAAGTTGCTTGAAATAAATCTTGAGTATTCAACTGTAGTCGGATTTGTCACCGTTAAGCACATTGTTATCTCAAGATACTTCACAGAATATATTAGCAGTAGGAGGACTCGGGTGCGAAGACTGAGCTGATAAAGAGACGAAACTGCCGAATTTGAAATTATAATTTGGAAAAGTTTGTTGCAGGAAAAAGACTATGATGAATCCTTCATTAATAAACCCCCTGGGAATTAGAATCTAGACAACCCGGCTGTTAGATCGGAATGAGAAAATCCAGTTCCAATCTAAATCTTCTCAGTGGGCAATTCTGGCAGTGAATGGACTTACATGCGAACTACGTCCATTCGTTGTCCCATCTACTCCACTCCGAGTGTGAAATCATCATTTTCAAATACAACCTACCTACTGCATTATTTTTCAACAAACGTTTCTGTACCTCATAGCAACCGAAAGCGAACATGACCTCTACGAGGTGGTAATACATCAAATTCACTCTTGTCTGTCCTTGAGACGCGGGAAAGCACTTAACATATTAATATTATATCTCACAGTACCAAAACCTCTTTCAAAAATAAACACAGCTTATATTTCCAACGCTGAGAGAAAATAACAAAACCCTAAGCATAATCCTTATTACCGACAGATGTGAAATTCGATACTTTTAAGGCTATAGGAATCATTAAGCATTTAGAATAGCTTTTTCAAGAAAACTTTGGATTCTTCTAGGAAGATGTCTAGATATTTCACTGTTACTTCCCAGGCTTCACTGGCGAAGGAAGTATTGTGATCGTGGAAAAATTCTAAAATGAGATAATATTATATTTTTTGAATCTGAGATCTGTCTCTTATATGACATATTATACATTATGAAAGATCATGTTACTGATTTCCATCGGTCTGTCTGTCTGCTAATTTTTGGACACTCTACAACTTTTGCTAGCACTACTTAGATTTGGATAAAATATTTAAACAAGGTTACTGGTACGCCAAAGACTAAAAAGATATTTAGTTTTTAAAAATCGGTACAGCGGAAAAAATGTAAAATTCTGAAAAATCGCTCTACCTTCGTTTTTCGACGTATCACAGGCTAATGGTTATTTTGGAAAAAAATGTTAGGGACAAAAATCGCAATCTGTTCATGTTAATATCCTAATTACACTTCCAGCCCCTGTTATTTTACGCTCATATTACACATACTTGACACATCATAGATTTCCCCGTAGCTTTGCCCTTAAAGCATCCCACAAACCGGCGCGAAATAATCGCGGCGAAGTATTCGCAACGAAATTCAGAGCGAAATTCGCAATCTGTTTCGCCTGTTTATTCATACCAAAGCGTCTTATTCGCTCCGCGAACGTCAAGGTTTCGACAGGTTGCGTACATTTTATTTTTGCCTTTTGCAATGAGCTCGTCTTCAGAAGAAGAGGAGGCACTTCTATTTCTTGCTTTAGAAGAGGAACAAAATGCACGGTAAGTTATGTTCATTTAACGCCATTTGATAGTTGGGTATGTATTAAGTTTAACGAAGTACACAAAACAAATATTTTCATTTTTGTTTAGGAAACGAAGGAAGTGGGTACATGATATTCACTTCACAATAAATTTGGGGAATACCATAGCTTGATGCCACAACTTCGGCTGGATGAACAGCGCTTTTACGTATATTTTAGAATGACTCCAGAGTGTTTCGATAAAATATTGAACTTGGTGAAAGATGAAATACGAAAATCTGACACAAATTATCGTGAAGCTATTTCGCCAGAAGAACGACTTGCTATTACACTCAGGTAAAAAAATTATATGTATTAAACTTAGTAGGCTTATCGAATACGAAAACTTCAGGGATCGTGAAATAAATATTTTATTGTAATAATTGGACTACATGTTGCCACTAGGATTAAGTGTTGCTAAATAATTCGAGGCAGAATTTGCCTCCTCTGTTGGGTATATTATTGGAGTAAACCCAGTGCCGCTTGGGAAGGACGACATACTATCATACATACTTGCAGAATTCTGGGTAGACGCTGGACATTTCTTCAATATGTTCAAATTCTTTGTGCGCTATTAATTCGGCTATTTTTAGTTTTATTCGGGCTTGACGCTTTAAGGGAAGTGTTTTCACAGTCTGTGCATGTGCCAAGAAAAGTGAATCAATGGCCTCGTTCTTTTTTAGGTTTTTTACCTTCAAAATAATTAATGAGCTGTTGTACAGACAAGATGGTGGTTCACAGCGTTTTCTGCTCGTTTTATATTTTGGTGTAGTTGCAGTCTGCGGAAAGGTGTGCGCTGGAGTAGTCACTGCTGTAGTGTTCAATGAAGAAGGTGGTGCTGTCTGTGTTGCCGAGGCGTTCTGTGCATCTTCTGCATTTACATCAGCATTTTCATCTTCTCCATGGCCGCGGTCTTCCAAATTTTCGGTTTCTACATTTCCAGCCCTTTCCTGATATATATTTGAGTTAAATTCGGCAGTCTCATAAGGTATGACGTCAATATCTTTCACATTAGACGACGTTTTGGCACATGCCAAAAAAGGACGGAAAAATTCCATGTAGTCAGCCCACTGCCATTTTTTTATGTTGCCCACTGCTTGGCCGGTCTTTGGTTTGGTAGATTTTATATATTTTGCAAATGTGTCTCTGATACTCTTCCACCTTTTTTTTACTTCATCACCTAAAAACGATTTTTTTTATAGATTCCTTATATATGGAAAAAATGTGCTGAAGAATTTAAAAATAGATGGGGATTTCCCAATTGCATTGGCAGCGTGGACGATAAATATGTAACAATCAAGAGACCTAACAACAGTGGCTCC